CAGCGCCTGGCCCAGCCCGCAGAGGAAGGGGTTGTGTTTGTTTTTGTTGCCGCTGAAGCCCGGTAGCCCCTATCTGAAATCCTTCCTTGTTCTCCTGCTCTAGTTTGATGACTTCTCCCGGGATCTGTGTGTCCAGTCGCTGCTGGAGATCATGGACATGTTCTGCGACCGCCTCAGGTACGGTGTGGCTCTTCCAGCCCTGCCGCCTCGGCCCCGGGCAGTACCGCGGGCAGGACTGGGAGCCGGTGGGGCCCGGCTGAGCCCTCACCCTGGCAGAGGGAGGCAGGTTTCCCCTCCAGCTCTGCGTCCATTCCCAAATTGCTGTCCCCCTCCAGCTGCCCCGGGCTGGGCTGCCACGTGAGTGCCAGCACAGGCAGAGCAGAGGGAGCCCAAAACCCCACCAGCTTTGTGGGAAGCTGCAAGAAACCCACCCATACTGGGATAAACATCTCTGCCGTGATATTCCTGCCCGGCTCAGGCGGATAGGGGTGGGCGTAAGCCCTGTGGCCTGAGGGTTTCTGTCCCCTCGGAGCGTTTTGTTTCTCTTGTGTGGCCTCTGCAGCTTCCCAAGGCCCGGCTACGTGTCCCTGTCTGCCAGTGCTCGCAGTTCTGCCTGTGCTGCCCCAGGCAGCTGCCTTGTTTTGCTTTGTGCTCTTCCGCTGGTGTTGCAGGACCCAGGGGAGTCCAGACCATTCAGGCCATGAAAACTTTTTTAGAAAGCTGAGAAATCTTCCTGTTAACCCCTGACAGCCACTTCGGGGAGGCTGGAGCAGAGAGCATGCGGTGGGGGGCAGCGGGAGGAGGAGGAGGAAGGCTGAAGGTAGCAGCTCTTCAATTACATGAAATGAAGCAGGAGCAATGAATATGCATCAGTCGCAGATGTTGACAAGGAGCTGTTGCTGGCCAACTGCAGAGCCGGCCGCTTAATCCAGTCCCTGCCTGATCTGATCCTCTGCTTAATTTGATCAAAACTTCTGGCCCCAATGATTTGTGCATCAGGAGGGGAAAGCGTTCACCTCTTGCAGCACATTGATCAATGCCCAGCCTCTCTTAGCAAGATAATTTGATTAGAGGCTTGGAAAGTTTCCCTGTAGTAGCGTGGCCAGAGAGGAGGCTGCACTGGGGAGACTTTATTTCCCCTGGCACAGTGCGGATGCTTGTGGGCTGAGCAGGTTGGGATCTGCGGTAGAGGAGCTGGCGGGCAGGCTGGGCTGGGCACAAGGGATGTGGGCTTGGATCCCCAGGTGGCCCCGTGTCTGTGCCTCGGTTTCCCTGGGGGCAGTAGCCCGGCCCAACGGTGAGCACAGTCCCGTTTCTTTTCCCTTCCCAGCTGCCACGGCAAAGCAGAGGAGTGCATTGGCCTCTGCCGGGCGCTGATGAGTGCCCTCAACTGGCTCCTGCGCTGCGCAGCCTTCTACACCGAGAAGGTGAAGGAGACGCTGGAGCAGGCGGCAGCTGAGAGCCAGCTGAAGATGTGTCTGGAGCGGCTGGAGAAGATGCTTGGCAGCACCAAGAACCGCGCCTTGATCCACATCGCGAAGCTGGAGGAGACGTGTATGTCGCTGCCCCTGCCCTGGCCTGCGGCATGCTCTGCCCGTGGCTGCTGCCAGGGCTTCCTCCTCATCGCTGCTGGCCCTGGGGAGATGTCGTTGCCACCTCTCCCTTCCCCCTGCCCGGCTCCTGCCGCATTGTCCCTGCAGCTCCAAACCCATCCATCTTCCAGCCCTGTTGCTGTAACCGTCCTCTCCCTGGCTCCGTGCCACCCTCTGCCCCCTCCCCTCCATGCTGCCCTTTGGAAGAGGAGCAGAATTAATGCAAAGGCTGCGTGAGCTGTTCCTGGATGCGCAGCAGGTCCTGTGCTCCGCCAGCGTGCCTGGCACAGCCCTGTACCTTCGGTTGGAGCCTGCGTCTGGCCAAGAGGCTGTGCCAGGCCAAGCCTGAAGCAGGAGCTGCCGGGTGGCACGCAGACCCTTGGCTTGGGTTTGCAGAGGTGCGCCGACTTCTGCTTACAGCGGGGTCCGGGAGGGAGCCCCAGCCTCAGCAGGCCCTCTGCGCTGCCGTGGGCCTTGTAGCCAGCCTGCCTGGCTGGCAGTCACTGTCCCCTGTCACTGTCCCCACCACTGAACGCCTGCCCTCCCTCCCCAGCCTCCTGGAGTGCCGTGGAGCAGTCCCTTGTCAAGCTGGGGGAGAACCTGAACATCCTCAGCAACTCCCCGCTGCGAAGCCAGGCTGACGACTGCATCTCCCTCATCAAGAGGTAGCTTTGTACTGCTGTCTCTGCGGGCTCGGAGGGTAAAATGGGTCTGAGCCCTGCTCTTCGGGCTGAGAGCCTCCTGCCTCCCTCCACGCTGGCTCCCTGCTTTCTTGTCCCTTCCTGGCTTGGACCCCTGCACCGGCAGTGGGCTGGGGCTGGCAAGAGGCCCTGGGGTAGGAGAGGGGACAGGGCTAGTGGTGACTTGCAGCAAAGCAATCTTACTCAGGAGTTGCTCCTCAGGTGGCCCTGGGGCCTCTTGCCATCCCTCAGCTGCTCTGGCCACACCAGAGCTGCCGTCCCTGCTCTGGATCCCCCCGGAGCTGCTCCCAGGGCCCGGGCTGTGGTGCGGGGGCTTGGCTGTGCCCAAGGGCTCCTCTGCAGGGCTCAGGAGCTACAAGTTGTCCTGCCCCAGAGAGATGCAGGACAGCAAAGGTCAGGGGCTTGGCCGGGAAGGGAGGGTGGGACAGGAGGAGCAAGGATCTGTCCATGCAAGGCTCCAGTGACGCTGTGCTGTTGTCTCCCACCCAGCATCCCCACCATGCTCTCAGTCCACTCTGAGCAGCTGAACAAGACCGGCTTCCCCACTGTGCATGCTGTGGTGCTGCTGGAGGGAACCATGAACCTCACGGGAGAGACCCAGCCACTGGTGGAGCAGCTGATGATGGTGAAGAGGATGCAGGTACGGAAGTGGCATCTTGTTCTCCTTCCTGCTCAGGGTGGGCCGGGGGCTGTGGCACCAGGGCCTCGCTGTAGCTTTGTGCTGTGTGCGTCCTTGTGCCGATCCTGATCCGAGGGTACGGGCACAGCTGCAGGGAGCAGCGTGAGCCCATCAACACCTTTGCAGGGGGTTCAGGGTTTGGTTGTGGTTGGGGGAGTCACTTTATTGCCTTTCCAGCACTGGAGGGTTTTGTCTGTGTGCCCCGCAGCGTATCCCCTCCCCGCTCTTCGTGCTGGAGATCTGGAAGGCCTGTTTTGTGGGCCTCATCGAGTCCCCGGAGGGCACAGAGGAGCTGAAGTGGACAGCTTTCACCTTCCTTAAGGTAGGGCCCAGCCACGCTGTGAGCACAGTGCTCCACACCCTGGCCCTGCTGCTGCCTTTTCCCCGCACGCCCGGCCCCTGCTGAGTGCTGAACCCTGGCAGAGCAATTAGTTCTGTCCTGCAGCATGCCCCTCGGGGTGCCCCCATGCTCCGGCTGAGCCTGCGGCAGCCCTCCTGCAACATGCTGAGCATCAGCTTTGCTGTCCAGGGCTTTTTTTCAGCCCAGCTCCACTTTGTTTTGCAGAGTGGCTTTCCTGGGATGTTGTGGGGGAAATTGTGGCCTTTGAAGGATACCACAGCAGCCTTGGGGTCTATGCTTCCACAGCTCAGTGGTGGACAGCCCTGGAGCAGTTGGCTTCACCTTTCTTTGAACCAGACAAAGGGGATCTGTGTAAAATTTCAGGCCTGACACATGTTCCGGCCTGTGCTGGGCTCCTCCGCAGCCTCAGTCCTCTGCCTGGCTGTTGAGAGGTGGCCATGCTCTCCGGCTCCCTGTGACGGTGGAAGGACCCTGCAGAGGGGAGGCAGGGGCACAGAGTCCCCTGGGCTGCTCCAAAAATGCTCCTTTCCTTGGGCTGGCCGAGCGGCTGCTTGCAGGCGTGTTTCGTGTGGGCTCCTGCAGCCTGTGGTGCTGGGAGGTTCTGAGTGCAGAATGCGGTCTGCCTCTCGGTCACATCCGTGCCCTGTGTCTTTCAGATCCCCCAGGTCCTGGTTAAACTCAAGAAGTATCCCCAAGGGGAGAAGGTGAGTCTTGAGGGCTGTCGATTGGAGCTGTTTGCCATGTTGTGTGCACAAGTGAGCTGTGTTTGTCATGATGGTGCTGGTGCCTGGCCAAATCTGTGTGGGGTGGCTGGGGTAGGAAACGGTCTATGTCCCAGCAACCTTCCTCTAATGCACAAAGCGGCGTGGGAGGGGAAGGTGGGCTCGTGTTGGCAGCACTCTGAGCTGAGCGCTTGGTTTTGTGCACAGCAGGACTTCACAGAGGACGTGAACTGCGCCTT